TCAATTATATCACACGGTTGTGTAGTATGGTAGCTTGCTCATCCATTGATCATCCATTCTCATCCAAATTTCTAGTGGCATTATATTTGTATGTTCTCAAGATACAATATTTTCATAAGATGTTTGCTATTTGCATAAAGTTAAATATGATTTTAGCTTGGCAATAGGATAATTCTCCCAATTTGTGTTATATAAAAATTTTCACCTATATGATATAATTATAATAGAGCTCAACATAAGTTTCTAGAAACATATCAATGTGTTCTTTACTTGTTATTGAACTGTACAGGAATATAATGGTCTAGCTGATCACTGTGTTCCTCAGTTGGCAAAAAAGTTGAACCAAGTATGCTAAGTAGCATCAGTCTCTAGATGATTAGTTGTGCTTATAATTTCTCTCATTATTTTTAGTTTTCACATAGAATGGTTCTTTTCTTTTGTTCCTATTCTCTTATGTGTGAGTCTGCAATTTTATAAAACTTTTGGCTTATAAGGAAGTTGATGATTTTAAACTCTTATGAATTTATTTGGCCTTAATTTTATTTGCAGGTTATAGTACAACATACTAAAACTGTACTTCCTAGGCTGAACTTGAAGTCACGTAGAAGTTCTGCTTTGGTTTCTGTTGCCAAAGAGCATGCCAGTTGTGGAGAAATAACATAATCAAAGGTTCTCGATTTATTCTTGCCTTCATATTCCTTCTAGATTGGGTCAATTATATCACGTGATTGTGTAGTATGAGGAACAAAAGAAAACAACCACTCTCTATGAAAACTAAAAATAATGAGAGAAATTATAAGCACAACTAATCATCTGGAGACCGATGCTACTTAACATACCTAGTTCAACTTTTTTGCCAACTGAGGAACGCCGTAGCGATCAGCTAAATCATTTTATTTCGTACCGTTCAATAACAAGTAAAGAACACATGGGTATCTTTCTAGAAACTTATGTTGAGCTGTACTATAATTATAGCATATAGTTGAAATTTTTTCATAGCAGACAAATTGGAAGTACAATCCTACCGCCAAGCTAAAATCATATTTAACTTTATGCAACCAGCAAGCATCTGGATGAAAATATTGTATCTTGAGAACATACAAATATAATGTCATTAGAATTTTTGATGAGAATTGATGAAATTATAAGCACAACTAATCATCTGGAGACCGATACTACTTAACATACCTGGTTCAACTTTTTTGCCAACTGAGGAAGTGATCAGCTAGACCATTGTATTCATGTTCAATAACAAGTAAAGAACACGTGGATATGTTTCTAGAAACTTATGTTGAGCTCTATTATAATTGTATTCCTTTTCTTTAGGGGCTTCCTCTTGGCTGTTTTTTTGTATGCCCTTTTTAGGCCTTTTGGTGTATATTTTGTATCCTTTTCATTTTTCTCAATGAAAGTATTGTTTCATATATAAAAAAAAATATATATTATATCATATAGGTGAAATTTTTTTATAGCAGACAAATTGGGAGTATTATCCTATAGCCAAGCTAAAATCATATTTAACTTCATACAAACAGTCGTCGGAGACGGGAGGCGGCGGTTGCGACAGTTGAGCTTCCATTGGTTACTGCGAGTGCGGCGGCCGCCGGGAGATGTGGGAGAGAACGACCGGAGTGCCCAACGCAAGTACTGTGAGTCCGTGAGTCTCTGAGACTGAATTTGCTTTTTGACAGAAAATTAATTTGTGGAAAAAGCTTGGCGGCTCATATAGGGACAATTTTGAAATTTCCCATACTCGCAGCACCTAGCGGCGAGTAATTTCCATAACATTATTATTTTTTAATAAGTTTCAAATATTGCACATGGTGATTTTTCATATATATATATATATATATATATATATTACTAATAATAGAGGACTATTATTTTTAAAAACAAATTATACCATCCATGCATGCTGTAAATTAATACTAGTATAATAACTATTTGATAAATAAATAATAATAAATCTTCACTTTTAATTGGTTCCAATAGTCAAATTTATTTCATGAAAAGTAGATTTATTTTGATTAACAAATAGGGCTTATTAGTTTAAATAACTAGCAACATATTTAGTTTACTTAATAAAATTTAATAAGAATGATTGGTATATATAAATTAAAGAAAATGGTATCGAGATATGCCAAAAGATGTTTTTATCAACTATAAAATCACCCTTTTATTTTAGTATGTTGCTTTTCTTTTAACTAAGATAATTATAGGTTGCTCGAATGATTTTAATTTATATAGTAAAATCTAAAATAAAATAAATTAATATACAAGATGATGAAAATAAAAAATATAATTGAAACTAAAAAAAAAAAGTTGTGAACTTGTGAGAGTGTGAAACGGTTGAAGAAGGGGTGGAATGAAGATGCAGCGATTCTAATCCCACTTGCGTAGGGCATTATTGTCCCGTGAGGCGCTCTTTCTCTCTTCCGTTACCTTTTTAATTAAAAAATAAAAATAAAAAAGCAAAAATACATATCTTTTTTGACGTTGAATGTTGAACCTTTCTACTTCATCCCATATTTGTTATTCCTAACCAAAAAAAAATTAATAATAAATTAAATTAAATTAAATTAAGGCAAAAGTTTTGATTTAGTCTTTGTCATTCAAACTAAATTGGAGGACTAACAAAAAAAATTGTAGTTTGACTCTAACAGTTTATAATTGTCTCCATCATGACCGCGTATTTTTTCAAGTATAATAAATATAGAGTATGGAGATATATGAACCAAATGTTTTTTTTTTTTTTTTTTTACGGAACTACATGCCTTAAAAAACAAGAATTTGTCATTTATTTGTTAATTAATAGTATATTTCAAAGTTGAGTAAGAGATACACTGAAATCACGCGGTTTGAGACGGGTAAAAATTGTTTAAAGTTAATTCACGATATTTTACTAAAATATAAGGATTGAATTCTAAATTTTAAAATGAATAATGGTTTAAATGGAAGCCAAACCTATATTATATGACTTAATTTTAACTTTTAAAATTATATGGATCGAATTAAAATATAAGTTCAAACTATATGAACCAAACTAATTTAACCGAACAAATTATGATTTTGTATAAACGTGACAGTTTAAGGTTTTTTTAGACATCTGTCTGAATTCGAAGTCTGTTTCTAAATGATATAGTGAGAAATTCAAATTTCATATGTAATCAAATAAATACATATAAACTTTTGTATGATTGGAAAATTTTCGCATATATAATTTGGTTGCATATTGCACATGTCATGTTAAGTGCATTAAAAAATAAAACTATATTTCTATCATGAACTTTATTAAATTAGTTAGTTGTAATATTAAAATTTTCATATAATAAAATAGAATTATAAATTTAAATAAATAATTATTGGTAGAACGACATTCAAAGTTACTCAAAGTCTTGCTGAAAAAAATCAAAGTCAGATGTCAAGTTGAGTGTGGAGTGCATTTAGATAAGTGGAAAATTTTTAAGTTGGTTAAAGAGAAACCTACGACTTGTTTTTATATTTTACTAAAAAATAAAACTGCTCTTATATTTGTATAAAAAAAAAGTCACCTAATTCCTCATAGTTCCAACTTACTAGAATTTTTAAAACTAACTTATGTATTGAAAAAAGCCACCTAATTCCTTATGCATTAAAAAGAATGATGTTTGAATATTTATATTTAAATAAATTGAAAAATCAATTCATCATATTGAAACCGCAATAAGAAGGAAAAAAAGGGGGAAAAAACAACAATAGGAGACAAAAAGAACAAGAGAAAATCCTACAACTAGCGTGTAATAGGATCCTATGGATAAATTGAGGATGATGCGTCATAAGGGTTTGAAGCCGAGAGATTATTACTGGATCGTACATTACGACCCTTCCAGTCAAAAGCTGCAAAATTTTGATTACAAAATAATTAATAACCAGCAAAGACATAATCTCTGTATATACGCGCGAACCTCCATCAAAATAGAACAGAAAGAGAGAAGAGTAGGATGAAAATGCACTAGCCGTCTTTGAATGTACGACATTGTCCACCAAAAAAGTACCATTACTATCTAAAGCATCCAATATAATCTCCAAAAAGTTAAAAGGGGAACGTCTAATATTGTTCAATTAAAAAGTGCAGAAAAAGACTCTCATGTGAAGCTAACATGGCTCTATACATACAAGTATAGCCAAAGAAAGATGAAACGAGACGGACGGTCAGAGGCTGCAGCTGGACTACCATAGGAAAGTCCACCCCCTCCCGCTAACATAGAAAGAGATTCCTAAGAGTCTCTATGTGAATCTCTTCCCGACCCGGCCGAATCGGGCCATCACTTGGGGTGGGAATGACTCAGCCCACATGCATCATTTGATGAAAGCACTCCAGTCCAGTCGCCTCCTCGAAGTGGCTTGTCAACCACGCTTTCCCTCCCTCAAAACAATGCTTATAATAATTTTATTAAAAATGCACGATCTCGAAAAAATATTTTAGAACTATTATACCCCTTTAATTTTTAGTTAATGATAAACAAATAATTCAAATTAATTTTAACCTATAAAATAAAATAAATTTTATTTTATTTTATTTTATAAGGGGCACTTATTTGAAAATGGAAAAAATTTTACTAATTACATTTGAATTTAATAATAAAATAAAATTATATTTATAATAGAAATTAAGCTATCTATTATAAATATAGTAAATTAATTTGTTAATAAATTAATTATACACTAAATATATAGAATATAAAACGTTTTCTTAAAACTTTTAAAAAATTATTTTAATTACCGTTAAATCACAGAATTTCTAAAATTTTGTAACTTTTCATCATCTATTACTATATAAATTTGAGTTTTCTCCCACGTTGTGTTCACAAATATTTTTTTATTTATTCTTCTTTTTAGTCTTCTCAATTCATTACTCTCAAATAATTCTTCAATCTTAAAAGGACATCTTAAGATGTTTGTGACATATTTAAGTTGCAATGAAGCATGTTTTGGATCTATATCTCGGATCATAGACCGTGTCGTTTCAATTCCACCTTGTGATGAAATGTTTTTTTTTTTGAGCTTTGATTTTTAATCTCTGCAATGGTGATCTTCAAGTAAAATCATGAAGTTGAAAGTATCAGATATTCCTAGAGGCATACTATTAAAAAAATTGGTGACTTGACGACAGGGGAGCCAGCACCGAAGCCCAACGATTGTTCACGTTAGAATTCTCGATTTTTTATGTAGTTATAATATTTTATTTTGTTCGTTGACCACAGTACCAACTTTTTTTTTTGCCATATTTGATTGATTTTATTCGATGCAAATGATTTTATAAAATTCTACCACATTGTGAGAAAATTTATTTTAATGAATGAGTCTATAGCCAGGGCACATTAGATGTTTTTTGTTTGTTTTATAATTAATGTATTTTTTATTTAAAATGGTTGGAAAAATCAATAATTTATTGATATAATTACAGGCTTATATTATTTAAAAAAATCATGTCCTTATAAGTTTTTAATTAAGTATAGACAGTAAATTAATTAATCAATCAATTATCAATAATAATCAGTAAGTAATTTAGGAAGTTGGAATACTTTTTTTTATTTGTCATTTCATTCATGTGGTAGTTAAAGAATTTTCAAATAATAAATATAATTATAACATGAAATCAAATAATTAAAATAATTTTTCTTTATTGAAGTTGAAAATTTTAATATATTACCTAAAAAAATTAGGCTGGAAAATATTTATAATTTTAATTGAATATGTAGTTAAAAAACAAGAGGTCTAAATTAGATAAAAATAACATATTCAAAATGAGAATATAAAAAATTGTTATATTAAACGTAAGAAAATGAAAGATAATACAATTTATAATAAATAGAATGTGAAAGGTTGGTAGGTAAAAGGTACGCGTTCATGTGCATAAATTAATTATAACTTTTGTATATACTAATAGGAATATTAAAATTTTTGAATGCCAAAAGTTTTATAATTTTTCATTGACTCCCACGATAAATTTGTATGTTTAATTTATTTCCACGACAATTTGAAAAATTTATGTCGATAAAATTAAGAAACTTAAACCTATATATACTAATAATAAACCAGAATAGTTTAAAAAGATGTGTATGATATAGAAAAGGTAAAACATCAACAAATTAATTTAAAATTGAATAAGATATTATATTATTCGATTGATTTGATTCGTATTTTATATTTAGACATCATTTTTATCATTTTTTTAATTTCAACTTTGATTAATAATAATTCGATTTAGTCTTATATTTTTACAATTACACCAATTATAAATAATAAAATATAACAAATTTATGATATTTTTACAAATTTAAAACCATACTAATTTAGTTGAATAAACTATTTTTATAATAAATAAAATCAATATTTTTATTAGGTGTTCCACGTGTTATTAAACTAGTTATATCAAATGGATTTTCCTTTCAAGATAAACTTAATACATTATGAAAAATCTTTAAATAAAAATTCAAACCTAAACTCGAGATAAAAAGAAAAGACATCAAAATCCCTAGCTAAACAAATGTCTAACACACTGCAAACAATATTACAATAAGTGAAGAACCACAAATTTAACTAAAACATGTATTAATTTTACTATTTTTTGTACTAAAAAATATTACTATTTATTTAACTTCAAACACAAAGTTGAAATACAAATTTAAAGAATTTAATAACAAATTTAACAAACTAAGGGCAAAAAGAAAATGGAGTTTTCAATTCACTTTATAGAAAGATCAAGAATGGATATTTACAACATGAAAAAGTTACTTCCTTTGGATAGGTTATAGATGGTCATTTCATAGTTATTGGCTTTCGCTGCCCATTTGTGAACTATTTTTGACTCTTTTCTGGTACCAATGGGCAATTACTGGCCGCCAACACCTTCAATTGAGAGCCCCAACGAAGAAAAGATTTTAGTAAGTGGATCTAAATTGAAGCGCAATAGATTTGAATTCCATCTTCTTGTCAACGAATTATTAAAAGGGATTCGTGATTGGAAGTGATTGAAATATATTATTGTACAGCGCTGCAATTCGGTTTTCAAAATAGTTCATCCAACTTCCCGACTTGGCGATGGGAAGGAAGCTTCGCGGAAACACGACAACCGGTAGAACAGGTTTTGTTTAATCCCTTCTGTCAATCAAAGGGAATTTTATATTGCGGAAAATTCCACGTGGGTGTTGAATTTTCGCTGCGGTTTCATGTTTTGAGACCTACGTGGTGGTTGAATGGCCTTTGACAAGGCCGGGAAGAAGGTAGTTTTTTCAAAATTTGGAAATTCGCCTTTTCGCTGCTTTTTTTTTCGTTTGTTCTGATTTAGGTTTTCTCGTTGATGTATTGGGGATAGGGTTTTCGATTCTTTTCGGGAGGTAATTCTTTTTGATTTATGATTCAATTGCATATTTCGTTTCTTTTGTTCTTGTGGTTGCTTCTGAAATTCAAATCTGCGATTCTTATCGATTCGTAATTCCATGGATTCCTTTCTGTTGCTTTGGAGAAATGGTTCTTATGGGCTGTGGAATCCTGCTTTATTCGAGACAGGGTCAAGTGGTTTTTGGTACTTCTTCATTAGTTTATATTGCTCTTGGCCTTTATGTTTAGATCTAAGTGGAGTTACTGTTTTGTTTTGAGCAATTAAGCTGTCGAAATTTGTGGGGAAATTAGAACAATTTGCTTGAATTTGGTATGATGGGGTGGTTGATCTCTGGTATTTGAAATTTCAGAACAAATTCATGGAGCTTGCTAATGCGGAGCCTGTTGCTAATGGGGAGTTGGATGAATTGGATAGGGAAACTTCAGCACACCTTCTCTTGCGGGAGGCCGGTCTGTCCCATCACTTTCCGGGCATGGTGAGGAAGAGAGCGTACATATTTGATGGATATGGGAGCTACTACAATAAGGATTGGGATCTTACTGAGGGTAGAGGAAATGAGTTTTGTTGGTATCATGTAGAACTCCCAAAAGGAAATCAAAAACTGTCACAATCTGCACAGTACCTCATAGACGTTCTTTGCCCGCCTTTGAAACTTCAGGACATTCTCTCCCTTGTCAGCAATGGACCCTTTTGTGGACATGTTGATGGGGCGCTTGTCTTCAGAGTGAATTCACCTGGCCCTCCATCTTCTGATTTTACATTCAGAATTGCTGCTAGAATTACTGAGAATTCTGTCATCACCGTGTCTTTGGGTCGCGTTCCCCGATTAGGATTCTCCCCGGTTGGTCAGTCTCTTCTCTCAGAGGTTCCTAGTGTGGAGATCCCCTCCCACTTTAGAAGTGAGCGGAGAGAAAGTGGGGGCATTGTAATTAGGGAGCATGTTCTTGAATTCTTATTGACAATGAACCACTCGGAGGAGGCTGATAATCCTGTGCCGATGTCCCTCTCAAATCTAGTTGTTCATATTATTGATACACATGTGGATCACCTTCAAGATGTGGTGACTAAGCTTGAGATTGAGTTAGATTCCGTGGAGCTTGAAATGGATAAAGGTATGGTTCTTTGCAGCATAAAGTAGTCGCTCTTATAGATATAGAATCATTTACGATAGGAAATGTTTTTGTATTTACTTTCTCCTGAAGATGAATACTATAAGTCTATAAACCGCCTCCTGTTTGAGAAAGAGCTGGGTTCGATATGGCATTTGTTTTTACTTTCAAGGAAAAAAGACGTCTGGAGAGGTGTATTTACTTGGAACTTCATCATGTTTGTACTCATTTGGACTTTTTAGTTAAGAGCATCGATCGTGTCTGTTCAATACATATACATATACATAATATTGTTTTGTGTTATGTGTTTGATTTGGAACTTACTGAATTTTTTTCCCTGATCTCAATCCGTTTGTGAACTATCTTGAACTTTCCTGATATATTGAACGATGAAAATGGAAGATTATAATATTCACCTATTATCATGAACTTTGATTCTTTCCATAAGCTTTCACTGACAGAGTATGGGTTGTCTTAATGGATTTTCGATATGTAATAACAGAAATCTATTCTTGTGCTGTTTTTAGGTGGATTTGCCTTGAAAAAACAAATGCTCGATGACCGAAGATTCCCCAAAATGAACCTTAATTTGCAGCGGCTCCTGCAGGTAGTTTCTCAATTCGTGTAAGAAAATCCCCTCCCCCCCAGTTTAGAGATTAAATTATAAGTTACTTTGGCCAATGAACTTTAAAGATTGTAGATTGTGTACATTTATTTCTTGTACATTAAATTTTATAGTTAACAAATTTTCTATTAGGTTCATTAACTTTGGATTTTGTATCTAATAGGTCCATGTGGTTAATTTGTAAACACCAACGCCATCAAATATTTGAACCTGCTGTAAATCAGCCCACCAAACAATATTTAAAACATCCAGCGTGTTATGTTAGGGTTAAAATGATCAAGTTAACAACAGAGACATGTTAGACACAAGATTGAAGTTAAGTAACCTATTAGAAACTCTTTTAAATGCATTGACTAGAACTCGATAGTCCACAAACAGACAAACTTAAAAGTTTTGGGCATGTTAGAGGCTTTTTCAAGTTCAAGGCTAAATAAATATTACTCTGAAAGTTCCGAGACTAAACTTGTAATTTAACCAAATTTAAATCATATTAAGGTACATTAAGGTTTTGAATAAACATACTGCGAGCCTCATTGGAGGCTCATGATCCATGATGGTGAGGATCAAGCTGTTCGGTGTATCTGCCACGATGGTCTGTGGATTTCAGATCAAAGATTCTTCTTAAATGACCTGATGTGTCTACAACCATAACCTGACTATTGAACTCTTGTCGATAGACAATCAATGATCTGAAAACTAAGGCTTTGTTTCCATGTCATAGCAAATGAGTTTTTATTTAAGTTGAAAATGGATTGAACTATATGTGTGAATTCTGAAGCATAAACTAGGAAATGCTGATCACAACCGTTGTGAATGGAAGATATTGTTCGGGCATATTAGTATATCTTCTGCAATTGGTTTTTGCGCTTATTAATCTATTATCTAATCTTACGTATCCATCTTGCTTTTGTCTGTATTTTCATGGAGCGCAGGTGATTGCACACGGGGAACAAGTCTTTCCACGAGTGAGAGAAAAGTGTTCTTCTAAACAATGGTTTGCCAGTGAAGACATCAGCTCACTCGAGGAATTGGTTGGACGTTTAAGAAGGTTGAAGGAGAATGTGGGATTTTTGGCGAATCGCGTCACTGCTATACAGGCTGGTCTCGATAGCTGGCAAGCCGAGCAAATTAACAAGAAACTCTATTATCTATCATTTCTTTCAATCATATTCTTACCATTATCGGTCGTTACTGGAGGTAACACACTTGTTTTAGAACACTGTTTTAGTTCCAGTTCTTTTGCCATGAACTCATTTGAAAAAATTTCATCCTAATGTTCTGGAACCTCTCGGCAGTATTTGGTATGAATGTTGGTGGAGTACCATGGACAGATCAGAAAAATCCAGAGTTGAAAGACGGGTTTCGTAACGTCATGTTTCTCTGCATTGTAATGCTAATAGCGGTGCTGCTCTGCTTCAGTTTCCCGGCTCTTTATACCTACCTAGCAGCATGGCATCGGCGGAGGAAGATGAGAAAGAGCTGGTCTCTCAACAGAAAATCTTTTCTGAAGAGAACTGTAAGAAATAATGGGGTTGAAGGTAGGGGAGGAGGTGGTTATCTTCGGATCTGACGATATGCATCCTTTCCATCCGTACTCATTTCGTTACATCCATCCAAAAGACCAGACGAACATGCCTTTTGAAGACCCAGCTTCTCGGTCTCGATCTTGGGTGATTTGTAAGTTAAACCATTGAACTACCATTGCTTGTCGAACCCCGATTGATCGGTAAATATTGAACAAAAATCTTGCATTACTGTATCCTCCCTTACCCTGGTAGACAGACTGGCTTGAAAGAACTTGGTTGCAGTTTGTTTCAGGTCAATGAGGTTAGCCAGTTCTATCCTAACAGTATTTTTTTTTCCCTTTTCTTTAACATTTGTAAGCTCTTGACATGTACAGTTTCTTTTATTCTTTTCTTCTTTTTTCTCCCACAGAGATTTGTATTGTTTTTTGGCAGCTTTCAATGCCTTTGATCAGTTCCTCACTGGACTGTTGTACTTGTTAACTTCCACCAATGATTTATTGTAACTGTTAGCAACTTCTTTTTTTTTTGTTTTTTAATTTATTTTGTAAATACATGAGAGTGTTTGGGTTAATCTATATGCCTTTTGATTAATTTCCTTATTATATGGAATCAAGAAATTCATGGAAATGCATATTTGCCAGTGTTATATCATGATTTCATAATAACAAAATCACACGTTTCTGTTTTTTGTTTCTTTTTTTATATCTTCTCCTTTTTAATAAAAATATAATTGTGTGTGGTATATATATTTATAGAAAAATTAATTTTTTAATAAAACATTTTTAAAAAATTTATGTTATATTTCTAATATTTAATATGCATTTTAGAAGTCGATAAAAGCTTGAAATGTAAATAAGAAACGAACAACCTAACTTTATTGAAAGTTATCAAGTGTGAGTCCCAACAAAAATAAGATTTTGAAAAGTATAATGACTAAATGAATGTTGATGTGTCAAAACGAGCATAGTTCGTAATAATTGTTGTATTTAAAAAAAAAATGTTTATGTCATTTTTCAATTTTATTATTTTTTTAATGTTTTTCAATTTCAATTCCATCTTTTTCTGTATTAAGTTTTTGAAATCATGTAATTACAATTCGTAAATGTTAGAAATGATATAGGAATTTAAACCCGATCGGTTTTAAATGATATATGATTAATGAACAGTGAGCACAGTAATGTTTATGGTAGAATATAAAAGTTTTACGAAAAAAAAAAGACCAATTAAATATTTATAACTACAGTATGGTTTATTTCTTATAGTGTTTGTTAAAACGTAGGAACGAAATTAGTTGGTGAGACTCGATCAAATTTTAGAATCATTTCCTCAATCATCTATGATTAATTATATTGCAAATAAATATATGTATAAATAGCCGTCGGCGAATTAATTCTGTATTTATAATTTATGCTGTAATAATTTAAAATAGAAACAAAAACTAAATAACGACCCTTTTAAATTTTGTGTACCAATCGGATCATAATTTGATAGACAAGATACTTAATATCTTGATGATTTATTTATCATTTTTATAATCGTTGAACTAAAAAAAGTCAAAATTTTCTTAATTTTATATTATCAATTATATGTTAATCATAAAATTAATTTGTTGGTTTAAATATTAGTTTGGTCTATGTCATTCTCACCTTAGTTCAACACGGTTTGGTTCATGTACTCTTAAAAAGTTACAATTTCAGTCTTTTTATATTTACTTTTATCTAATTTATTTCGATCATAGTTTTAATACAACACTTCACTTTCTAAAATTTTTTGAAACGTAGTTATAAATTTATATTAAAGGATTTTCATCGTTTATAAAATTGTTAAAATTTTACCACCAAATTAGTCCCAGTTTAGAGTAAAAGGACCAAAATCAACCTTTCAAAAACTCCATAGATTAAAATTAATTAAGATTTTTAAAAATACAAGATCAAAATAAATAAAAATAAAAAATGAACAAACTAAAATAATATCTAAACCTAATTTATATTTATGAAAAATGGTTGGTTTTTAGGTTTAGGTTTGGAGAGTGGCGGTAGAGATCTAGAATGTTCCACGACGACCAGGGTTGCTAGAACCATCCGTCATTTCTCATCACCGCCTCACATAAAACCTCTCCCTTCAATTTCTTCGTTCCCCCAAAACCCTAAACCCTTCGCACAGGCCCAACCAAAATCGTCTCTCTCTCTCTCTCTCTTCCTCTCTACTGGTTTCTTGCACCTCATTTCTGCCATGGCCACGGGTGTGCTGCTTCGTTCTCTTCGACGTCGCGATGTAGCCTCCTCCTCCCTTTCGGCTTACCGATCCGTATGTCTGCTCCTCACTTTCGTAGTTATTCATTTGTTTGTTTTCTGCTGTCGATCCTCGGTTTTAACCTTGTGAGTCTCCGAGATTTGTTGCTATTAGGCCTGTGGGAGCTGCTTCTGGTTTAATATTTGTGTTTGTTGTGTTGTTTGTAATCGTAGAAATTGGTGTTATCGAATTTCGGTTTTGATTATGAATTTCGGGGTACGGGGCTTGTGTTGTACTCGCCCTATCGGATCTGTGTGTAACGAATTTGTAATGATTATTTATTTTTGTACGGGGATCGGAACGGCTCGTTGGTGAGTGGGCTTAAGTAGCTTGAAGGTATTCTGGAATTAGTCGTGCGAATGACATATTATATGTTTTTATTTGTGACGATACTGGGAATTCCATAATCTTTTGATGATTTGAATCACTTATTGCCCTTGGCTAGTTAAGGTAGGACGCCGTATGGATTGATGGTCTAAGAAATGACTGTGATGCGATTCTGCAATTCCCTTAGCTGCACGAATATTCATGTTATGCCAACACGTCTCTGTTTTTTGTGTTTTCTATAATATGTTCTTTCGGCTTCAATCTGTGGCCAGTAATTTCAAACTTTGTTGATCACTGGCATTTGATATCTTCAATAAAAATTCTTAGACTTAAACTCTTGTGTTTCTAATGATGATGCAGTTAACAAGCAATGCCAAGCCGTCATGGACCAAATCTCAACTTAGTCAATCATGGGCAACTTTGTCCAGGCCATTCAGGTTCTGCTGACTTGTAAAAATAGTTGTAAGTTTATGTTAACTGTTGGTTTCCATCATTTCCTTATAGTTGCCTTGTCCACTCCGTACAGTTCCAAGCCTGCTGGGAATGATGTAATTGGTATTGATTTGGGTACCACCAACTCCTGTGTTTCTGTCATGGAAGGGAAGGTAAGTCTAGCCTACAATGTACACATGTGATTGATTGATGGCTCAGTGTGCCATTTTTCTGCCTCCCTGATTCTGGTTATATGTTTGTAGAATCCAAAAGTTATTGAAAACTCTGAAGGTGCTAGGACTACACCATCGGTGGTTGCTTTCAATCAGAAAGGTGAATTACTTGTAGGAACTCCAGCAAAGAGACAGGCGGTAACAAATCCAACAAACACTGTGTTCGGGACCAAACGTCTGATTGGTAGGCGTTTTGACGACCCTCAGACACAGAAGGAAATGAAGATGGTACCATACAAAATAGTCAGAGCTCCGAATGGAGATGCTTGGGTTGAAGCAAATGGACAGCAGTACTCGCCAAGTCAGATTGGTGCTTTTGTTCTAACAAAGATGAAGGAAACTGCTGAAGCCTACCTTGGAAAGACCGTGTCGAAGGCTGTGATTACTGTTCCGGCTTATTTCAATGATGCACAGAGACAAGCAACAAAGGACGCTGGCAGGATTGCTGGTTTGGATGTTCTTAGAATTATCAACGAACCCACTGCTGCTGCACTTTCTTATGGAATGAACAACAAGGAGGGTCTTATTGCTGTCTTTGATCTTGGTGGTGGCACATTCGATGTTTCCATCTTGGAGATATCCAATGGTGTTTTTGAGGTACAATGTTTATTTTATTATTTTCGAAATATAAGTTTCACATAATTTATTTTCTTCCTTAATATTTGAGCTTTACTAACTACTATTGATTTTTTTTAAAAAATTATATATTTTCTTTTTAGGTGAAAGCAACAAACGGTGACACATTCTTGGGAGGAGAGGATTTTGACAATGCTTTACTGGACTTCCTTGTAAGTGAGTTCAAACGGACTGAGGCAATTGACCTTACCAAGGACAGGCTTGCCTTGCAGAGGCTTAGAGAGGCTGCAGAAAAGGCAAAGATTGAGCTATCATCTACGTCACAGACTGAAATTAACCTGCCATTTATCACTGCTGATGCAACTGGTGCTAAGCATCTGAACATCACTTTGACCAGGTCGAAATTTGAAAGCCTAGTAAGTCACCTGATTGAAAGGACCAAGGCCCCATGTAAGAACTGTTTGAAGGATGGCAATATTTCTATCAAAGAGGTCGATGAAGTGCTTTTAGTTGGTGGAATGACTCGTGTACCCAAGGTTCAAGAGGTTGTCACAGAAATTTTTGGAAAGAGCCCCAGTAAAGGAGTGAATCCTGATGAAGCAGTTGCTATGGGAGCTGCAATTCAGGGTGGCATTCTCCGTGGTGATGTCAAAGAGTTGCTTCTTTTAGATGTTACCCCACTATCGCTTGGTATTGAGACACTTGGTGGTATCTTTACAAGGTTGATCAGTCGGAACACTACCATTCCCACCAAGAAGAGTCAGGTAATTCTTCGAAGCTTATTACCTTATTTAGTGCATGCATGTTGGTTCATAACAGTAAAATCTACTACTTTGGATAACCTGCTTTCAAGTTATTCATTTCCTCATCCCCACATGTTTGGCAAAGTCCTGGAGCATCCACTGTAATAGATAGGAGCTGATGAAGTAGTAAGCATTTACAGTTATAGGTAGTGGATAAGTATTTAATACTGTTGTTATATCAAGCCAATATCTGTATGCTAAGGCTGATCGAATCTTGCCCGTTGTGGATGCTTCTTTAATTATTCGACTTTCCATCATTGCAGGTGTTCTCAACCGCAGCTGACAATCAGACCCAGGTTGGTATCAAGGTATTGCAAGGTGAGCGAGAAATGGCCTCTGACAACAAACTTCTAGGAGAGTTTGAGCTAGTTGGAATTCCCCCTGCTCCAAGAGGAATGCCTCAAATTGAGGTGACATTTGACATTGATGCCAACGGTATTGTTACTGTCTCTGCCAAGGACAAGTCCACTGGTAAAGAGCAACAAATCACCATTCGATCTTCTGGAGGACTCTCAGAAGACGAAATTGAGAAGATGGTCAAGGAAGCAGAGTTGCACGCCCAGAAGGATCAAGAAAGGAAAGCTCTGATCGATATCAGAAACAGTGCAGATACTACCATCTACAGCATAGAGAAGAGCTTGGCCGAATACAGGGAGAAAATACCTAGCGAGGTTGCCAAAGAGATAGAGGATTCAGTGGCAGACCTGAGGAAGGCAATGTCAGAAGATGACATTGAAGCGATCAAGTCAAAACTTGATGCTGCCAACAAAGCCGTTTCCAAGATTGGACAGCATATGGCTGGTGGTTCAGGAGGTGGTGCTGCTTCCGGAGGATCTCAGGGTGGTGAACAAGCTTCTGAAGCCGAGTACGAGGAGGTGAAGAAATGAGCAACATAATTGTTCGGGTGCACGGAGTTTTCCTTATTTTAACAACCAAAGGTGCTCTTATTTTAATATGGTGATAGGACTAAGAATTCTAGCGGATTTTGTATCTAAATGTTGGAGGTTGGAATATGTTTAGAATGTTCCTGATATAGTAGCAGTGTTGCTTTGTTTGCTTTTGTTGAATTCTTCATTGTTTAAGAATTCGTCAGTGATTTGGGTCACTGCCTGCCCGTTCTCGATGATAAAAACTCTCCCGTGAAAAGAGGATTCTCTGGACCATGTTCTTGGTTTTGGTTAAATTGGTGAATAAACTCTCACTCAAATACACGTTCTCTCTTACTGACCTTGTCATATATGGAATAACTCGGGACCATTTTCCTCGTCTGTTTACTTCTATTTCTATGTAAATTACTGCAAACACAGACAGCAGGAATCAAAGTTCAGACTGTGATGTTCTTTGCTCTGTCATCAAGTGATTTCATGGGATTTCCAATGTCCAAAGTCTCAAAAAAGGCTGAAATGGGTTTGTTGTCTTCCTTTTCTCAACTTTTAAGGTCTCTGCATCCATGGCGATGTTGCAGAGAGGAAAGTGACCATATGTATTGCACGTGCAGGGAGTGTGCAAAAGAAGATGGATCAAGAGGGGCGGCGTTGTTGTATCCACAAAACAAAATACCATCAATTAATGAAGTGTTGAGAGTGGGGCACCCAACGAAGCCAACTAGTTTTGGTGGTAAGTTTTTGGCCATATTCTTTCTTAATACAGTCTAATAAGCACATGGGGCCTTCCCATGAGATTCCTTTTCCAAGCTTAATGTTCAAACCTGGCATGTTGCATTGAGCATTGAAATTTCCTCCCTCCAACAGTCAAAGAAGAAGGCCTTCAAAACAATTAAATTAATTGAGTAGTGTTGATCCAGCTCCCCCTAGATTGAAGGGCAAGATAGGTGGGAAAAGTGTTGGGGTATGGTACGATTATCTAGGAATAAAGAACAATGTCATATTAGAATCCAAGTTTCACACCCACAAAAAAATTGCACATTGATTCACATTGAAACATTATGTATAAATGTAATGATGTGTACAGAGAGTATAAAACTCAAATTCTAAACCTGTTCTTCTTCTTCTTCTTCTTCTTCTTCTACATTCCTACACTGCATCATTTTCTCTAACTTTCTTCTTCCTTTACCTACAACTTTCCTTCTTCCCCAACTCTCCATTCTTCAGGTTCCCAAGTGTTTTCTGTTATGTTATTATGCCTTCAAGATCCATAAGCTGAGGCAGAAACTGCCGACTTAACCCATCATAAAGCTCACTATTTCGCACTCTGGAGATTAAACAACCCTGTAAAAGGTTTATAAATCAAATTAGCCATTGCTTCACATTGTGACAGAAGAGATAACATATAACAACAACTCGGAAAATGGAATGGACAAATTTAATTTAATACCTCATTCAGACAGATCTCTACCCAATGGTCCACTCCGTGCAGCGCAAGAGGGATTGTCGCTCTCCATTTTGGATCTCTTTCAGACCGTTCCATCATCAAATCTCACGCTTTATTGTGCATTGTCGTCAGAATCGCTCCCGGATGAACTGCCTTCGGAATCCGAATCTGCAAGGATGGTACACCCCATTAACCTCTACTTGTGGAAACAAATCCCAAATCTCAAAACATCCAGCAGAGGCTTAGAGTTGGGTTATACCACTCGAAGAGGAAGAATCATCACTGCTAGAACTGCTGGAGCCGCTGGAGCTACTGCTAGCATGGCCTCCTCCGGCGTCTTTCTCGATCTCCACCGGAGGAAAATTGCTCGCCGGCATCTCATCGCCAATGTCCACGTCTTCTTCACCAGCCTCCCCTTTGCGTTGCTTCTTTGTCTCGGAACCCACTTCGATTTTCTCAGTGACGGGCATAACCTGTCAAGATTCACAATACATAATCATCAGAACAAAGTAAACGTGATGAACCCAACCATTTGGTGGGGTGCGAAATGCTTATTGAGAGAGCCAGATTTGTAGAAGTAAATTTACCCCATTGGGCTTGTTAGATGCAGCGGGGAAGAGACCCTGTCGCTTGATCTTGCTCATCATCTTCTTCCAGTTCGTGACCAGCCGATCAAGCTCCCAGAGGGTTTCCGTATCTACAGCCTCAATGTCGAGCTCAATCTCATCCCCATCCTGCTTCAAATGGCCGTTTCTCTTTTTTATAATTTGCACCACTTGTTCCATTTTCTCCGGCGGCAAACTCTGCAACCCGATTCCCAACTTGTGCTTCTCTTCAAGAGTCATTTCTCTCTTGTTAGGATCTTTGGCTCTTGGCTTCGGCTGCTTCACCGGCTTCACAGGAGGTGCCCGCAGAGGCGATGGAGTTTTGACGGGCGACTGCGACTGCATCATAGGCGGGTTAGACGAGCTTGACGGAGCTTTGATCGACTCTGGCTTCTTCACAATTTGCTTCGAGCTATCCTTCTTAACCACCGTTCTTTCAGCCTCCGAATGATTCCAAGAACTCGCTTGATGCAACTCTTCTTGGTAGCCACGATATCGCCGATCTTCCTCTTCCAGTACCTCACCCACGGGCCGAAACAATTCGTCGAATCTCGTCAGTAATTGCTCTGCCATGGCGTGCACATCGTGGCCCCTGGGATTATAGGTCATCGCGTTCTTGAAGGTCAACCTCACGTCGGCAGCGAAATCGAACGGCGATTCATACGCATCTTTGCTCAACTTGGATTTCACGGATCCCAAATCCATTGGACGCTTTACGATGTCGTAGTAATCGTGAAGATTCATCCCAACCACATCGACCGGCTTGTTGAAGATCCAGCCATGTTTGTGCTTCATCAGTTTTGTCAAAATCTGCGAGCACGTCTTCATCAGATTACCGTTCTCTGAATTTGACCGCTTCAACTCCTTGCCGTTGCTCATAGTCGGCAGAGGCCGCTTGGTTCCCGAGGTTTTCGACGATTTTTTCTGGTGTTTTGGTCTGGAATGTAGGTCGCCGGAATTGATGCGATTTTTCAATTGCCGAATCTGTTCAAGTTCGGAGATTAACCTGCTCTTTAGCTCGATCAGCTCCTTCCTCGAACACGACGAAACATTGAAGCTCACATATTGACTGAAATCGACGCCGTTCGACAATCTCCGATGATGATTAATCGACGATGCATCATCTGACGCTGATTGAGTCACAGCCGGTGAGTCATCCATCTGGAAACCGTTCATCTCGCCGTGAAACTGTTTCTTGTTAAATTTAGGGTTAGGGTTTGAAAAAGGTACTTTACCCATGAATCCTCCTTCCGTACCGCGGCCGTTTCCCCTCGGCTGCGGCCAATTGGATTCGTTTCGGTTTGCTAAGACGGCGGAAGCCATTCCTGTACGGAATCCGAAATTTCCAGTAGGATTCCGACAGGGATCCGTCGAGGATTTCCCAATGCGGTTGAAGGGTTAAACATGAATCTGCCGGCACGTCGTCCCTACGCGCTCAAAAAATCCTCACGCGCCGCCGCAAAAAAGCCCTCCGAGGTGTACAAAAATTGAGAGGAAAAACAAAAAGGAAGAAGGAATCGTGCAACGCTAGTGTTCGAGGATTTTGGTTGATCCTGACTTCTGAGCGAGGAAGAAGAGGGGCTAGGGTCTGTTCTTAAAGGCGCGGAGATCTGCCCCGAAAAACTTCGGGCAGAATCGCGGCCGTCGATGCAGTCTGGAACGCCGATCCAACGGTCCAGATTCGCCCTCTCGTGCCGGTGAATTGACCAAGTGACCTGGCATGGACGGCCAGGATCTGTCTCTCCGTGCACGTGGACACATCCGGACCGCCGGATTGTACTGTGATTCGGGGAGATGCGTTTGGGGTGAATTTGGGGCGAATTTGTCGTGCATTTAGGGTTTCGTATAGTTCACTCAGTTTTTATTGAGCTGGTGGGCCCCACAAGTGCTGATGTCGACCGAAAGGCGATTGGCTGATTTTCTGCACTGTGTGTGAGGTGTGGGCCCCACTGTGGGGTCGGCGAAAACGTGTGAACGAACCCTCCCTTCGTTTCCCCTCGGTCAATGTAAGGGTAATTCAGTAAATTCTCCCCCTCTTAATTTGCCTGACGCTTCTTCTATTTAAACACCGCATGTTCTCTCACTGCGCCCACCCGCGGTTCCCTTCCCTTCTTTCTCCTTTTAAAATTTGGATAACACGAAATAAATAAATATATAAATATTTGGATTAGTTTTGTAAAAAATTCACTTTCATTTCTTGACACGTGTCCGTAAAACCAGCTTCAATCATATTTATCCTCATCATTAATTTTGAGAGAAAAAAAAAATCAAATTTCCACTCCTTTGAATTATTACCACTTCATGTAAGCAACGTTGGCATGTTGAGATGTTTTTTTCCTTATTTGGTGCTACTAATTTTCAGACACGGCAACATCTTATAAAATTGTCGATTGTCGATTCGTAACAAAATTTAAGTAGATATGACAAGCTTGATATTTTTCTTATGTGTTGAATTATAATATGATGTGAATAGAACTCCTTTATCATGGAATTAGACATGCTACTAACATCGACTTATTTGTTAGTAGTTATTAGGGTTTGATGTTTTTCAGTGGAGATCTCTACTTTGTGGAATCCTTTGTTTAGTGCTTGTTTGAGAAAACCTCGAATTTGCAAGGAATTATATCACCTTGACTCAAATTTGGTCACCTTCACCCATAATTGTTGCACGGAAAAAAAAACATCATTTGAAATTACATATGACCTATTAAGTGTAGTTATATAATATGGGTCAAATATAACATAGTTTATGAATTACCTTCTTTGGAGTTAGAAAAATAAAATTACACCAAACTTAAGAAGCTTTAAATCATTTCACAGGAATTTAGTACGAGAAGAAATTGTTGTAGCTAACATTAACATAATTTCGTGGTTAATGGATCTGGTTTATTTTTACCCATATTTATTATATAAAAAAACTGATTTACTATGATTGGTTTAAGATTAATTAGGGATATATTTACCTTCTAAATTTTAAATTGCATCGATGAAGTATAAAAGATTATATATTTTGGGAATCAAACAATTATAATTAAATTTATGGAATGATGATGAAGAGTGGAAAGACCATTATGGTTTTGGCTTTTAATTAATGTTTTCCTCTTTCCTTTAAACTTTTTTCGAACTACCAAAATAGACCTTTTTGCATCTAATTGAGGGAATAAGAATGTTAGTTTTTAGCGAAGATTCTAATAATTTATCATCTCATCACTCTATATATATATATATATATATATATTTTGTAGCATGTGAAATGAGTTTCGAATTAATAAAAAATACATGTCTAATTAGTTGAGCTAGGTTTAGATTAGCGTCATTTCACTATTTTGTTAGTTGAAATTACCATAATTTTATTGTTTCTCAAATTTAAATGCATCGTCATGTTTTAAAACATAAAAAATAATAATGATAGAGAAAATACAGATAATAAGGAATCAATTATATGATGCTTTTGAAATTTTTATGGAAATATCGAAAGTAATTCTTGAACCAAAATCTTTCTATTTCTTCATTGACTTAATAAAATTTATTTTGAAATTGTTAGTACAAAAGAGAGAGATTTATAATTAATGTTATTTACGTGTCTTTGAGGTTAGGCTATTTATTTAAAAACCCAATACTTTTCATTTTTGGAGTTGTAAGGTGACATATTGTGACATAAGATTTCTATGAAATAAGTTAAAAAAAATGATCCAAATGAATTTTTAAGAAAGATTCAACAACCAAAATTTTGGGAAGTATAATAATAATAATGGATTATAACAAAAGTTAAATAGCGGACTCGGTGATAATTTTTTTATCATTTCAAATATCAATGATTCAATCACTTTCTCCTACAATTGTCCAACTAAAAAGAAAGAATATTACCCTGAAAATTCAAATAGTTGTAATTATATGAATAATTTAAAAAAAAAAAAAAGCTGCGACAAACAGAATTTGTTATTATTTTTATTATTATTTATTTTTTTTTGCTGATGATAGAAAAAGGTAATTCACATCGTTTCAAAGACATGCTCAAACTATTCTGCATTCAGAACTATCAATGCTACCAGTATGATTAAGATCAACACAGTACCATTGAGTGACATCTTAACTAATTTCATTTTAAAGATTGGAAAAAGAATGAAGCTTTTAAATCAACACCAGAACAACTTATTTCACTTATGAATTTATAACATAACCAAAAAATAATCAATAATAATAAAAATCCTCAACATGCATGTTTTAGGACAACACTCTTATACTAAAGATTCTAAATGACTATGCTAAAACGCTAAATCAGGAATTTTAGTGAACAAGGAAGTTCCTTCTCCGTTTTGCATGTCAATTGACAATTACACTTCGTATGATCCTGCCTAGATCTATATGTTATTTCACCGACGATCATCTAATTCCTAAAAAAGCCAGATTCACAGTATCGACAGTTATGACACGTACCTTAAGAACTTCACTATGCACTGAAATAGGATAACCTAACGATACGGTTCAGTAAAACTTTTCCTTTATTTCATTTCGCTCTCTGACATGGCATAGCACAAAGCTCAGTTGGAAAGGAAAGGGGGAAGAAAAAGTTTGAATGAATGCCAATAGCTACAAAATATAAAGAACATCTCTCTCTACATATATATATATATATATATATATATATAATCTTTCTCATGCAGAGATGCAGGGTCTCATATGGTCTGTTAATTTGGACGAAGGTGTATTTGGTATTTTGTTCTTTCTAAGGTCAGGCTAGCTACAACTTCCTAATGGTTACTTAAAGGTTCAGCTATTTAGTTCCTTGATCACAAGCAACAAGTGAAAGCCATAATGTTCCCTTTTTCTTTTTGCACACCGAAACCTATCTGATGGGGCAACCAAAACAGATCTTAGTAAACTTACTACATTCAGAAACCAACATATGCATCTTTTACAAAGAGCATATGGTCATATAATTGCACTCATTTCAAATCAAGGGGAAGTTATAGGATCTATAAAGATTCAAAATCCACAGTCAAAATTTCAATGAAAAAGGTGTATGTATGCATGTATATATGATCAATGATGCATGCATTCTGAGCTATGACCAAGAATCTATAAGATGTATCTTAGTTTTCAAGGGTTAAGCCAAAAACCATTTGCCAGAGCAATCAGTCTATCAATTATTTCCTCAGATCACTATGATTTCGAGAGGGTGAGAGGCCAACTTATAATGTCAAAAAGAATAAGAAAAAGGAATATTCATATATTTAGTGTAAACTTTGTTGCTCTGCTGCAAGATAATGGATGTCACCTGTTCAGGGTTGGATAAATCCTCCAAGCACAATTTTCTTGAAGTGTAGATATTTCAAGTAAATAAATAAGCGTGTGCTGCATTGAGTCTAGATAAGGCAGTTCCAAAATACTTGTTTGTATAATTGACTCTCAACATTTGAATATTCCCTCTGTCTATAGCCGTATCAGACTTACATCTTTTCGTTTTCCTTTGGGTCAGAGTCAGCTAGTTGTTTTTCTTCCATCATGCTTTTATCGTCCACGCCATCACTAGGCATGTCCAGTCCCAGAGGTATCTTTCCAGGATAATTAGTCGTTGAGAAATCCGACCCGGCCATACTGGCAGACAAGAGATATGAGGATCAGGAAGAGGAATTTTTCTTTCAAGTCTAAAGCTCATAAACTCACCTTCTATCAACTATGATTATGGAACGAAGCTCACAATTTGCAAAGCTGCAAGTAGACATTGCACACTGTCATTACAAAGTCGATGACATTCAAATGTTTCCAATAAAGTGCGAGTAGCCCAGTCGAAATGAAATTAACAAATGCAAGTCATAGGTAAGGAATGAAATAAAGAACAAAAGAGAGGTCCTCTTTAAGAAAAGAAGAAAATAACATAAGATAGACAGGTTGACGCACTAACAGCCATCAATAAACATCAAAACATTACAAGAAAGAAAATGTATCTTCCCTGTTAATACGAAGGAGTTTCAATATTCCATGCCATAGTGGAAGATATGCCGTTGGTTCGCACACAGCCAAGCCAAAAGGCATTTGCAAATGCTATATGGAGAAAGATTTAAAGAAAGCAGCACAATGCAGTGATAAAAGACCGACTTCATTCACGAGAAAGGTATAGACAATATGGCGTAGGTTAAAATTCACACGAAAGCCAATGGTGATGAACTTAAAACATGAGACTTATATGCAGATAATTTCAAGCAAAGTAAAGGTGTATTAAGTTCACTTACTGCTTGCATATTTCCTTTTTCACCAAAGGGTGGCAGTCATTTCCAAACGCAGTTAAAGTATGAAACAAGAATCCACTATGAGTAACAATGGCTATCTCCTTCTCCTTCCTTGTCCACAGCCTGCAAGAAAGGAAAACATGGAAGGTTTATGAACTTACATGAAGTTCCAGCAAGAAACCAACACCAAATTAGCAAACAAGGATGGAATCAGTGGAATAATTTTGTTCTACTATGTTCCATCTATCTATGGAGTAAAATTTATATCTACATGTTGATATTTCTGTTAATAAATTGATAAATTAAGATGCTTAATATCTGTATGAGGGGTAAATATCTTTTTATCAAAATGTAACAGAAATGGGACAGAATTTTAAAAATTCTGGGAAATACTGGAAGTTTTTGATAAAGATCATAATTTGAGTCATTAAGTTCACTTCCACTGAACTAGTTGAACTGTCCCATTGCATAATAGGTATTAAGGCCAGAGGATTGTACTTTGTATAATTTATCTGAAAGAGTTTTGCTTGGTCAGTTGTGATATTTCAATAAGTAGATGACAATCCAGCCTCCCAATGAGCCAAGATTTTGTTACTAAAAACCAAATCATCATGCAGATTCAGATGAATGTAACTTTTGAAATCAACTGAAAACCACGTCATGTAACAGTGGATGTTGCTAAACAAGTAGTTAACTACAGTTACCATGATAACCTAATTTTATCCTGTCCTTAACCATTTAAATAGACTACGAGATATGTGAGCTTATGAGCAAACTTTTCCGTGTGCTCACATTTTTAGGTTACAGCAAGGCAGCCCCAATAAATCAGTGTAACTAAAAAGATTCTAATATACAAAATATTCACCAATTTAGGAACTGCAATCCTCTAGCTGCCAGTTCTTCCTTTGTCTCTCTAACATCGGCCTTCCACAGTACATCCTCATCACTTTCTATCTGCATGGAACTTTGACTGTTAATCAATGACATAACTCACCCACCATTGTTACAATTTCTTGAATGGAAAAGCTTAGAAAGAGATAATAAGCTTCTTGATAAGATTACAAATTAAAAATTCACACATCTTACTACAAATCCCAGGTACTTGCCAGTGAAAAGTCAACTGCAGGAAAGAGGAATTGATAGTCACTGATGTTTCTCCTCTTATCACAAGGATGAACTCCCTGTTAAATACATAGAACAAATAAGAACTACAGGTTAACCTCCTTGAGAATGAAAAAGGAAAAAAGAAGCTATGGTGAATTAACCCATGATCACTTGGGAGAACCCAAAGCTTAATGCTTTATACTGCATCGTGCAAAAATATGAAGTAAAATGTTCCCTTGACAGATTTACATTAAGGTGCATAAGTAGACTTCTAATATCAGTAGAGTTGAATAACAAGCTCAAACAAAATGCTGTATGTATCAGTGGAGTCAAATAACCCCTATCCCCCCAGGCCCCACCCCACGTTTGAGTCATTTACCTTCTAAATCATGAACAATCTACCTCCCATCGAATGGAGTATACAAAAACATATTCAATTTAACTATCACATACCAAATGTTCACGACAAAGCTCAACAGCAACAATAGGCGGGCAGTTTAGACTTGAAATTGCAGCTCGTGCACTATTGCCTGCATTTGCTATCATTAGCGGCAGCACGTCCATTCCAGCTGTATAACCTTCACCACCAAATACTCCAACAGTGGTTTGTAGAGTCCTATAAGATATCCAACCATGAGCAAAATTTCTAATACTCTCCATATTGACATATGATTTATTAGAGATCTAACTTGAGTTAATATCATCTTCCCTGCAGAGTATGCATGAATAAACAATTGAATACAAGCATTGAAGAAGTAGAAACTGTGTTCTGAGGAATTCATAACATTCAAATATTGACTTTCCATTGAAAGAGGCATACACGCATTCATCTCTTCTTTTTTTGCAGTTTCAGCTTTGTTCTTCTTCAGTTATTAAATTTCACAATGTTGGCTGGACAGAAAATTGAAAATCATAGTATGATGCTCCTATCCTTCTTAATCTCTTCTTTCTAAAGTGCTGCCCGGGCCAACAGCAAAAGGAAGTTTATGAGATGAGAAGTAATGGGTTGGTTTTATACAAAAATTTATGCATACAATAGTGTGTATTGCAGAAAATGACATCAATACCTGAGCAAAGGAGATGTTACAACCAACTCAATCCTCCTCAAAAGACCAGATGCATGAACGTGCTTACGCAAATTATCAATCTGTAACAGTTGAAAACTATCTAATCAGTACTTCTCTCTTGGAAAATACGTTAGCTCTTCTAACTTCTTTACAATTTGCATATATATGTGCATAGCTCGTGTTCTGACCTGCTGCCATCCAAGCTGTGTAATGTGAGCATCAAAAAATTCAGGACGCATGTATGCTTTATAACTCTTCTCTCCATCAACATTGTGGATCCCCTGCGCATGCCTGACCTGGATGTATGGTTTTGTAAGAGCCCTTGATTTGCGAGCAAAAGCCAAGAAAGAAGGCCATCTTGAATGCCCTTCAAACCAAATACAATCTGCTTCACATCTGCAATACTCATTAGATATAAAAATAAGCAGTTCTCAAATTTGATACCAACCAAGTGAATTGTTTTGCACCGATGCAGTGGATACAAACTAAGACCGGCACCATTATCCATATCTGCAATAAACATAATAATAAATCAAGCTCAGAACCAACCAAAATACTATAAACAATCAGAAGTCAAGTCCGTTAATGAAAAATAAATCAATAGAACCAGCATTTTGGTCGTATCTAACAACGAACAACGGTATAAATTTAACAACATAATTCTTAACTGAAACACTCGTTCCAGAAGAACCCAGTGTGGAACTGAATTATGATAACATAATTCTTAGCTGAAAACAGCCTTTAGATGTCATTACCACAAACATAATGGTCCCATCTCCTTCTCTGATCTCACTATCAACTATTATGACACAGCAACTCAAAATCAAGCTCAATGCGTGATCCACATCAATCAAGCCCGAGTAACCAATACAATGAAGAAAATCAACACACAAACAAGATCATGTACCACAAGAAAAGCCACAACAACATGAAATCCAACAGAAACACCCAACATTTCAGCAAACCCACAAAGCATAGACAGGGGCCAGCAAAAATACAGATGCAAAAACGATAAACGAGCTGGATAATAGCCGGGAAATGGAGGGTTACCGCGGGAAGGAAGAGAGCGATGAATTGAGGTGGAAATGGAGGCGTTGGAGAGAATAGAAGAGAGGGGTTTTGGAAGAAATCGAGTTAGAGTTTGACCAGTGGGAGAGATTATCATCCGAATATCGATATTAAAGGCGATGCTGCCACTGATTGTCATGTCGCAGCGATGGGTGAATTTTTGTTTTTCGAGATTTGTTTATTTGGCTTTTCAGCCATTGGCGTATTCGCCAACTGTGTGGACTCTCTGGATCTGGAGGACCATCCCCCTTCTCCAGTTGCGCACGTGACTGTCCTTTGCTCGGCCCTCCATCTATCAACCATTAACCACTTAACCATCTCATCGATCCATTGAATTACGTTTAAAATTACTAATATAGACTAGAATTTTAAATCTTTGAAGTTTGATCCATAGACAAAGATATTGATATCGGTCGAACTATATTTGTTAGAAACATACGTCCAACAAAAATAATAAAATTTGCATTACAATCGAATAAATGAGCAAATCATTTATGTCACGCTGACAATATAATCTTTTTTAGCAACCATAATCGAGAAGTAAATAAAAATTATAGATTAACCTATATTTCCTTTAAATTTTATAAAGCTACTACAATACTTTTTTTTTTTAATACTACTGCAATACATTTTTTAAATGGAAGGAAAAAAATAAATCGTACATAATTTATTTTTTATTATTATTTCAACACATTGGGAATTGAATTTATGACCTTTGGTCAAATGTAGATGTATTAACTCATTCAGCTTTATTTAGGTAGACAAATCTATTTTATTAAAAGGCGCTTTGAACTCCTGAATCAAAATTCAAACTTAAATATGCGGAATTTCATGAATACTAAATAGAAAGATTACTTTTTGGGTAAAAGTACCTCTAAAAAATAAAATACAGATTTTGAAAACATTTGTTTATATTTTCTATTTAAAAAAGTAAAAAATAATATCTAAATAAAATGACCACAGTGGTAGCATGATTTACCCTAAAATATTGCAAAAACAATTTTTCCGTATATCATTATTTATGTCAAACTATATATTTAGATCTATAGTTGATATATATATCATTTTATTCATATTAATGGGTATGGTTCATAGTATAGTAAGATTATAGTTTACTTAATAGATTAATCAATTATTATTATTATTATCGGATAGTCACAGAGAGACACACGTCTAAGTTCCCAATCGGCCATACGGATTAGACCTAGGTTAAAGAAGTCAAGGGAGGCTAAGTGCATCGGATTGAAGTGTCGACTGCACCTAAATGTCTATACTCGAGACAGCCAAGGAAGGAGTCACTAACACCCTGTAGAAATCCTGGCACAAACAAGATATTATTTTGGAAGTAGTTACACCTCACTAGTGGATAGGAGAGGATCATCAAAGTGTCGGTGGTCCCCACACTCTCACTCCCCTTTCTTCGTTTCACTATTTATCTCTCCATATAAAAGCAATACTCAACCCTAAACGAAAGTTAGCTAACTCTCCTAATGTAAACCCTTATGACACACTTTCAAGCAAGACTCCCACAAAGTTTTTTTTGCAATTATTCTACGTGCTTCATACCAATATGCTCCCATCTCGAATACTAACTTGCATTAGGAGATGTTGTAGTGATAAGAATATGAAGTATTGTGATATCATTTACCATGAAGTTTTGTGTTCGGATCTTACATTGATTATTCTATAATCAAACTCACACGACATTGATTCACTGGTTCAATTGTTATTGAGGTTAATAACTTAATAGTTGATTTATGAATTTTAAGAAATTGCCATATTTATGAAACGCAACCCATTAAATTTCAACTAACTTATAATTACTAGAGAAAAATGTAGAGAGAGAGAGAGAGAGAGAGAGAGAGAGAGGAGAGAGTGAAAGTAAATGGGATAAACTTTGGAAACCTTCGAATTTTGCTTCAATCGCTCGCTTCCTCTCAGCCCGATTCTCCTTACATTTTTTTTTTCTTCTTGCAAATCTTTCGAGTGAAGCATCTACAAGGAGAAATCTGTTCAAATGATTTTCGCGATTAATCTTTTTCGTCTCCCTCACGGCCGCAGTGAGATCCACAGTTTTCGATTTCAATCTCCACCGTCGCCGGCCCTTTCTCGGAACCGGCTCCCGTGCCAAATCTCCTACTGCATAAAGAAACTCAGCGACGCGGAGCTCGCCTCCGATCTCGCAACGGAAGTTGCGAAAATGAGCACCAATTTGATTCAGAGGGAGGAGGCGATGAAGAAGAGCAAAGAGTTTTTGTTCACGGAGCTCTGCGGATTTCTAGGTCTGAAATCGGAGGAGACGAAGAAGAGCTGGAAAAAGATGGACGAAGAGGCGAAATTGGCATTGGTTAAAGAGTTCGTTACGGAGTGGGGGTTCAATTTTCAGCCATTGTCGCCGAGGTCTGTGAAGGAATTGGTGGAGGAATACGTTAATGGAGAAAATATTTCTGCGATTTCTTCTGCTCCATCGTTGATTCCTTCATTGAAGAGAATTATGGGATTGTGACAAAGCTCGTGAAATGCGTTAATGGCAGAAAGTTTGCACTTGGATCGTTAATTCCCAAATCCATTGTAAGCTATTCTCTGCATTTTTATGGGATTGAGCTCTCAATTTCGGTTCAATGCATTTCTGGTTTTTCATTTTCCTTATTTCCTTCGCTTACTTTAATAATTTACACATTACAAGTGTTTCAGCTTTTATGGGCTTCAACTCTCAAATTCGGTTGAATGCATCGTTGATTCCTTTAATTATATTTTTTCTCTCTAAATTTATATGAATTGTTAACTATGGATTTACATTATAGAATTAGATAATATCATCATCATTTTCATGTCTTATTAACTTTTTGTAATATGTAATGAGGGTCACTGATGATAAACAATGCTTCATTTCTTGAAAAAGAGTAGCATTGTAGAGTAGTTATGACAAACAAAAATAAGTTTATAGTTATGAGATGATTAATTAATTTGATATACGATGGTCACCTACCAGATTTAATATTCTAAAAATTTATTTAATAACAAAATGTAACCGGATCAAATAGTTGTCCAGTGGGATTAGTCTAGGGGTGTGAAATCGATTACTCACGTTTATAAAAAAAAAGTAAATTGATAAACGTAAAAATTTAATTTGATGTGCCTCCGCAACAAAAGGACATGCCAAATCCATCAAAGCCAATGTTTCTTCAATATACCTTTTATATGTTAAGGTAGTTGCATCTTAAATGCAATGCAACTCATATGACTTCCTCGACCGCTTTCAACGGTCAAGGTACAACATGTAGAATTATCTCATCATCAGCAATACCCACGACATTAACAATAAAGTATAAACGAGATACGGATCACGACTTTTGACTCCTCAATCTACCTTTTAACATTTGGTACGATATTTAGAATATCACCTATTACCAACATAATAAATGTAGTATTTACCAACACAATAAGCGTAGTATAAGAAACACAAATTATGATGGTTAACAATTCAATCATGTTGACATATGGGAGAATGTATAGAGAAATTTTTGTTATTGTGTACCTTTTTGTGGTTCAGTAGAAAACAATTGAAATAGAACTATTTTCTTCACCCTAGTTTAAGTACTATTGTTGTTGTTTTTTTTTTTTTTTAGTTTTGTAGTAGGGACGAAACCATCGGCCTTTGAAGCGGTAAAAGTATTTTTTCTAATCATTCAGCTCTAAATTGCCTAACAAACAAGAAGGAAAGTATGTTACAAAAGTGAAACAATGTAAAGAGAAACATGGATAGAGAGTTTCAAATAATTATTTTTCTTTTTAATAAATAACATGAAGTACTAATTAAAATACTATTTATGCAATTAAAAAAAATAACGATACTATATATATTTTTTAGTAACGTCAAGCGGTGGATGTGATAATTCAAACTCATTATCTATTAATCCGACACAAGGTAATTTCAAATCATTAAGCTCTCGTTGACACGTGGTAACAAATGTAGATTTAAAAAATACCCATATATAAACACATATGCAAACAAATGTGTTGTCATTTTTTCTTTGTTCGAAGTGGAAATTTTATAAAAAAAAGAAAGCAAAAATCTACGACTAGAAAAATGTGAGTTAAATGATTTATAATTTTTATTTGATTAATTTTAAGTAGACGGTCTAAGTTATTTAAGAATATATATTTTTTATTTTTTAAGTCATTTTAATTTTTTCCATCTTCACTGTTTCGAGAAAAAAAATCAATGCTTCCCGCAGATCCAGATAAGTACGGAAATGATTTTAATTGTTATTATTATGATCTTGAACGAACTAAAAAGAAAAAGAAAAAAATCTTGAACGATATTATTCAGAGCAATCTGCTTCTTTCGCCGAGCAACTTTTATCCGGCGACGGGAACTGACACTGCGGCGCTCCGGCTATGGATCCGACTCCTTCTTGGTTCACGCCTAAGAGGTGCTTTTCTATCTCTATGCTTTGAGATTCAATTGGTTGTTTCGTCGGCGAGAAAATACGATTGAAATGGAGAAGTCAAAACTTCATGTTCTATCAAGTTGACTTCTGAATTGAGCTTACCCAATTCTGGAAAAAATACCGTTTCTAGGAGATTTATGGTTTTCTTCGACTTTAAGTCTGGTATTTGAGCAAGTTACTTTGGATATTTTATCCGTGGATGTTATTGCTTGATTTGTCGCCGAAGAAGCAATGGAGTAGAGGAGAGAAATGGCGGTTTTGTGTGCTTTAGTCGATCAATAATCTTTGTCTAGAAATAGGAGTTATTCTATAATTGAGATGCACTTGTTCAACATTGGAGGGAATAATGCTGAGCTAAAAATGTAAAAAATAAGAATAGTCGCGCTCTGATGGGGAAATAATTATGGAAATTCCGTGATTTCGGGTCGTGGCTAATTTGGTCACCTGCGAGTTAATTGGTGGGATGTAATATCGTAAAGATGCATATTGTCGCTTGCTTGCCCTTTCAGTCCATCCTTCTGGTTTTGATTTTGATTACTGGATATCTTTTGTTTGCTATGGTGCTTCCTGAACGATCGTGATTACTGATTGGGTTGTTTTCCAACTCTTTTGTGGTAATCAGTTCAAAGGCAAGGTTAAGGTCTTATGGGCCATTGCCATCAAAGCGCTTTTGAGGTAAGTGTGAATGGAGAGAAATTGAAGAATTTTAAAGACAAGCCTACGAACATAAGGGATTTGTGGATTTAACTAGATTCCTAGGGTTGAGTTAGTATTCTAATAATTTTCTCCCATCCCTGCACCTTGTTAACAGTAGCCAATTGGAGCCTTTTTGTAACCTCATTGGCTGGCTGGGAGATTGCTTTTGATTTTGTACATGCTTTATTTAACGACATTCTGGTTCTTATGAAAAAGGTTACTGAAACGATTCAGGTTTTGTTTAGTACGGTGCTCATTGAATAAGCATTACCTATTGCATATTGGTTTATCTATGAATGGTCTGAAATGGTTCTTCATTACCTCGGGGATGTATCTTGCACAGACAAGTCAGTCATAACATCATCATATCTTTTAACAAAATCATTATGCTTTCATTTCTTTTACTAGAGTCTTGGATTATTAGCAGCGTTATCCATTTATTTGGGGGCTAATAGTAGATAGGGATACATGTAATAGTTGTCGTAAGTGCTGGAAGTTTACATATTGATCATAGGGACAGTGGATTTATAATAGATTATTCAGAATGGTTTGACTACCAACCTTTTAGGACTCCCAGAACTGGTAGCAATTACCATTATTAATATGACGATATCTTTATGACCCTATGAAGCTGAAGTGGCTAAAACAGCCCAGTTCAGACCCCAGACCAGAGGATTAGCAGAATGTTTTCAACTTTTATGTGAAATTTTTGTCATGCTGCTAATTTTTTTCCAGTTTTTAGTACTTTTTGGAGATTTTTATGATCAGTTCAATTCAGTAATTTTAACTAAGGGTGCTGGCTTTTACTATTATCTTGTGGTTGTAGTTTTAGTTTCCAGTAGTGGGGATAAAAAAGAGTTGTGTACTATGAATTGATAACAGGAGCACTTCCTTCTCTTTCTTGATTTCTGCAGGCTTCTTGCTATATTTTGTGTAATCAACTTGATAAATTACATGGATCGAGGAGCAATAGCAAGCAATGGTGTGAATGGAAGTCAAGGAACTTGCACAGCAAGTGGCACATGCACATCTGGTAGTGGGATACAGTAAGATATTGGAGCCTTTCTAAACGAATGGGGTGATTAGGGAGAAAAATTTTATTAATGAATTATTTAAAAATTAAAATTTCATATGGAAACCTTGTTTGAAAAAAGAAACGCAAACGCTGTTAAATCACTGCTGTAGGAGTTTTGGGTTGGAGAGGAATTACGAAACTTAGTATCAAGGAATATAGATGGCAGGAATTAGGAAATAGTAGAGAAGGCTAGATGTGATGCTCTATAGAAAAGTTTTTCTGTAACTACATCCTTTTTGTTATTAACTCAAATTGTTAGAGCTTTCTTTTGGACTACTTGGCTTGAGATGAATCGCATAATCTTTAAAGACAAGGGGCACACTTTTCCTTCTTTTTTTGATGATATAGTATTGCTAGTTATATCATGGTGTAAATGTTCTCCCCTTTTCCATCATTATAGTTTTTCGAATGTTTTATCCAATTGGAGACTTATTTTGTAACTCCGTTGGATGAGGTCTCTGCACCTCATTTTGTAGTTTCAATACTATCAATAAAATTGTTTCTTATAAAAAAAAATGGAGGGTGTTTTATTTATTTTTTAATTTTATAAATAATAATAATAAATAGAAAACAAGTTCTATGAGTTTTGCGTTCCTACAACCTTTTCTCTAAGTCAATGAGAAGTTATATATATGTTTTTTGTTTAAAAAAACCTTCACATGCTATATTAATTTATGCATGAATATGTGGAATTTAAATATTATAATAAATAAATATATGAATTATTTCCCTGGTGTAATTTCATAGCTCCTCGCTTGCCCTCGCTTGCACATGAATTTGCATCTGAACATTTCCTAGGCTTAGGCTGTGTTGATATCCAGACGCTAGTTATTTGGCATTGAAATTTAGAGACTATTATTTTTGAGATATTTACTGTCCATGTCATAGTTAGAGACTATTATTTTTGAGATATTTACAGTCCATGTCATAGTTGCAATGCATGTCTTGTTGGTTAGTTTATCAAAACAAGATTCCACATAATCATCATGGATTGACCCAATGGTTATTAAAAACTGGTGAAAAATGTAAAAAGACCTCGGGATAATAAGTTCAAATCTCATGATCACCACCTATTTAGAATATTAAAATCTTACTAGTTTTTCCTTGACAACCTAATGCTGTAGAGTGAGATGGTTATTTCATGAGACTAGTTGAGGGGTTTAAATTGGCTTGGACACACACACATATATAAATTCCACATACTGCTATTTTATGTTAGCTGTATTGGTTGTTGGTTTTGACATCATTTTATGTTAATTTCTGTTGATGTAAAATTATCTTATGTTAATAAGATTGTTGGCGTGAGCTATTTCTGTAGCTGAATTATTTTGGGTCATATTATTTATAGAGGTGAGTTCAGCTTGAGCAATTTTGAGGATGGATTTCTTTCTTCAAGTTTCATGGTTGGACTTTTGGTTGCTTGTCCAATATTTGCTACCCTAGCAGAACGGTAAGTCAACACATGTTCTATACTGTTAGTAACTACAGATCTTTGTATGTGTTGCTTCATTTAATTTGTATGGAGTAGTGAAGGTTTTTGGCAAGCATTTAGTGACAAACTGAGACTATATTGTTCGAACACCAGTTAATTTTCATAGGAGATTGTTTTCTGAGATTAATGTGAATTGAAGTTTCTGAATGTGATAAAATTTTGTAGATGATGTCAGTGTCATTATGGTAACTAGTAAGCAATGGAGAAAAATTCAACGTCTTTGTTTTTTCTTTTCTTTTCTTTTCTATTTTGGGATTGGATATTGCATGAAAATTAACTTGTTGAAACTCAAGTACCTTTTGTTGTTTATATATAGTAAATCCTTTTGTCTTACAAATTTCTTCTTCTTATTCTTCTATATTATTTTATTTTATTATTATCTTTTTGGCAGCATTAACCCATTTAGGCTCATTGGGGTTGGATTATCAGTTTGGACTATTGCTGTCATTGGTTGTGCTGCTTCATTTAATTTCTGGTCCATCTCAATATGCCGCATGTGAGTACTGTTCTTCTCCCGTTCCTCCTTCTCTTCACGTTTGCAGATTGGTTATTGAGTTTAACATTGTAAGGAAGCTTGTCCAATTTGAGCTTTGTGATTGAATTTGGGCTCTTGGACTCCTTTGATTGCTTTAGGTTGGTTGGTGTTGGTGAAGCATCATTTGTAAGCCTTGCTGCACCATTCATCGATGATAATGCACCTCCTTCTCAGGTTACATTCCCTTCCTGTACAAGTAGTTGTATTTGTCTGATTTGTGCCAGTTAATGTTTCCCCGTTGATAATCAAATTCCAAATTTTTGTATATTGACATCATATTTATTATACAAGATATGATCTTCCAAGTTTTATATTTATGGATAGTTCAAGTTGTATACTTCTGTTTCATGGGACATCAGTGGTCATCGTGGACTAAATTTATTAAACTGTGATATTTTAATTTTGGAGCTGAAGATTAAAATGTAAAATTAAAAAATGCTAGTGGATGTATGTCGGTGCTGCTTCTAATTGTTAGTTATTTTTACTTTTCCCTTCGTCTCTGTTTGTACGTTTGATTTGTATCTCTTCATTTTATTCCTTGTGGAGTCTGATGTTTCCCATTATTCTTCTAGTAACTATGTTCTGCAGGCACAATCACCTCCATGTTTTGTTTGTTAATTATTTGTGGTCCTTTTTTCCTTTCAGAAAACAGCTTGGCTTGGAATATTTTACATGTGTATACCTAGCGGTTATGCAATTGGCTATATCTTTGGTGGATTGGTAAATTATTTTCTCATCATTCTCCTTAAACTTTTTGAATATATTGAATGAGTATAAAAAATTCATTTCTTTAGTAGTTTCTCTTTCATGTCTCTCATTAAGTGTGCATTCTTGGTTTATATTTGATCACTCATATAATATTCTTCAATAAACATAGGTTGGAGGTAATTTTAATTGGCGTATTGCATTCATTGGAGAGGCTGTTTTGATGCTTCCATTTGCAGTTCTAGGGTTTGTTATAAAGCCTTTGCAATTGAAAGGTACGAACAGAACTGTGATCTTCAAGCAACTTAATGGTTTCTAAACAACTTTAAGTACAGGATTTTCTCCTTCTGCATCATATGGAGTGGTGAGATCTGAGGATTCGGTTGCCTCTGAAGTTCAAGGTACTCTGCTTCAGGACTCTAAGCTATATGATAAGATTTGAAAACGTTCTGTTGATGCATATGAAAAATACAAAAGAGAAATTTGGTACCCCAAAAAGCACATCATAATGGCTGCTCTGCAAAGAACTTCACAAAATGAATAATTATGGAACTGTTTGTCAAGGGTTCACCAACGGCAAGCAATTTATTGAGAACCCAAATCTCCTCCCAATCTCTAGATTGTTTACTACAACTCCCAAGTCTGTGATTCTTTTCTAACCACAGCTCTCAAAGTAGAGTCTTGACTCTTAACCAGCGACCACATTCAACTTGGTGTTCTCCTGCATGTGAACACAAATAGTTGCCATGAAGTCTTGATATTATCGGCCAAAGCCCACTGCACCAGAAAATCATTGCTAACAAGAGGAGCTAAACTTGCAGCAAAAGAAAATATGATACCGAGTTTCTCCATATTTTTTACACAAAAGAAACCAATTTGGATAGAGAGCCATATTGAGGAATCTTGTATGTATCACTTCTCCTGTGCTGATACACCCAGGAATTCCAACAGGGGGCACCTTATTTTGAGATTTATCATTCCAGATTGCCTTTGTGAGTTTGGAGACAAGATAACTTGCATACACAACCTGTAGGAAACAGAATCACGAATTCCCATATGTTGCATGGTGTCTGCCCTCTTTTGTCCTCCAAAGAAATCAGTATTTAATCCTTCTCTTTATCAGACTCTTTATCTCTTCTTTTCAGGCCTACCAGATTTCTTCTAAGATTAGGATTTCAGTCTTTATGCCATTTTCCACTTTGAATCTTGAAAAGCTCTATAATTTCTCAAAGCTTCATAATATATTCCAGAGACTCATGGTAATGACTGTTGCTTTACAAAATCTTCCGTTTTGGGCATACTTTTTAAGAGGACTTTGTTATCAGTCAGAATATGCTTGTTACTTGGACCTGGGCACGTATTGCTACTATAGAAAACCACTTGATTTTTGATGCTTTGATGGTTTCTTTGCTTAACCTTCGATTCCAATCATATAAATATCACTATCACATATTAATTAGTAAAATTGAAAATATTTCTTTTTCTGCTTCTTAATTTACATATATGAAATAATTTTTCTTTTTAGCTGCAATTATTTGGCTTACACGTTTATGAACTCAGAGACAGAAGCTTCATATGGCAAAGGTGGTGGATTCTCCATTGCTGAAGATAGCTCAGAGAAATCTTCCAGGTAAGGACGATTGCTACAGTTCCTGGTATCCTTTTCCTTTCAATTTGTTTTGGCAAGATAAATATATGAATAATGGGGTTGGATCAGAAATCTAATGCCTTAAAAAAATGATGGAAATGTTCCAGGCAAAAGGCTTTCCAATCATTTCATTTTGGAAACAAAGGTACTTTGTCAATCATCTTGTGTGAACTGTCACTAAAGCCCAAACAGAAGACATGAGATATTGAACTCCACAGTCCACACTATCGAGCAGTCTGAAGATAGATAACATGCTCTTTCGTTCTTACCATGTTTCTCAAAATAGCCATGATATAGCCAGTTTACATTCCCAAGTCCGTCCACCCTTACAGTCAGAACCTCAAATGGAATTAAAAAGTCCAAAACTTATAATCAAGTATTGAAGTAGAATGAAACCCATTGAGAAGCCTCTTCCATGTATTGGCTACAGAAGTACAATGTACAAAGTAAAAGATGATTAGTATATTCCTTTTCTTCCGGTTGAAAAAAGAATGGCATTTGACGGTAGCTCCAAAGTCCTCTTCATGGAATGCAGAATACATGGTGATCACTGATCACTGGTCTACCCTATCTTAGGCTATACTTCTAAATTGGATTCCCTTGCACCCTATCATTCTAACGTGCCGGATAACATGAATTACTGATGTAATTTCTCCTTAATAACAGTAGTGTGTCATGTAGCTGGACATCCACTTTACAAAGACTATGTACTGATTTCATGTTCTTAATTTGTAACAGTTTTGCTTCTAAGTCAAGGAATCAGCTCTCGAAACTTGTGAAAGAAGTGAAAGAGCTCTTGGTTAATAAGGTTTATGTTATTAACGTTTTAGGTATCTTGTTCCTTGCTCTCCACCCATTTCCATTTTCTGTGAATGTAATCACTAGGAGCTTGTGCTACATTTCCCCCTGTTTCCTGAGGGCCTTGAGTTTCTGTTTTAGGTTATATAGCATATAATTTTGTCATAGGCGCGTATTCATATTGGGGACCTAAAGCTGGTTATAGCATCTATAATATGGTGAGATTTTCCTATAGTTGATCAACTATTTTCTTATAAGCGATGACGGTCAAGATCTCTGAAAGAAAACTTGCAGTTGCCAAATTTGCGTAAATAAAGTTGGGATCCCTTGCAGAGCAATGCTGACTTGATCTTTGGAGGAATAACGGTTGTATCTGGAGTGGTGGGCACAGTAGGAGGAGGCTACGTTCTGGATTTTATGAGCAACACCATCTCAAATGGTTTCAAGGTTGGCTTTCGTGTGAATTGTGATTATGGGATCAAATCATTTCTGAACTGACTTCACATTACATCTTTTCCCATGATTACATAGCTATCCCGAAAGGTTTTAGAATGAACTGATCGATACTTTATACTATAGTGGCATGGGGAAGAATTTGCTATTTATTTTTCTATCATTTTTATATTTCATCCCTTTAACTATTGTGTCCTATATAGAAAAATGTGTATGGAGAGTTGTTAGTGGGGCATGCTAGTAATGGTGTCTGCTAACACTATCGACCAAGTGGAGATATCTCTGGGGATTTCTGATATTTTCTCAAATCTAACCTGCTATCAACCTACGAAATTCTTTTGCATCTCATTTTATGAACGTAGCATCAATCTTTTATAATCTAATTATCTCACTCAAATTTTGCTGCAGCTTCTCTCTGCAACAACCTTTATTGGGGCAATATTTTGCTTCAGTGCCTTCTGTTTTAAGAGCGTTTATATCTATCTAGCCCTATTTTCAATTGGTGAACTACTCGTTTTTGCTACTCAGGTAATGGATTGCTTTTTTTGTTTTTTTCCCCAATTTTTTAGGTTGATTTTGTATCACCCTTTTGTACATTTGTTTCTCTTAATGAAATTCGGCAATTTCTTATAGAAATAGTATTTGAATATCTTTTGTTACAGAGGCTTCTATGGGACTCGAAGTGATACTGTAATGTAGGAGTACTACAATTACTTGCTTTGTGGTATTAAAAAAACGGTTTTAACTTCTAGTACTCCAAATTTTGTAGCTGTCCTGTACGGAAACTCTTTTTTGAGAAGGAAACACATTTTTCATTGATGTAGTGAGTATTTGATTCATATTGGAGAAAGAAATACAACTCGCAGAATCTGAAAATAAATTATGGATATTGGATACAAAGAAAACAGCCCAGAATTCAAACTATACCCAAACGTGTATACCCACACCACGTTACTGACATAAACTCACTAAAAAGAAAACCAATTAGAACTGATAATAATAAAGGGAGTATATTTATTAAAAAAAAGAAGAAGAAAGATAAATGTAAGCACATTCTTTTACATGATGACTTAGGATATTTCACCATTTGTGTTATGAGAAATGTAAATTCTACTAAAGGGAGGACATGATGACTCTCTACTTTCTGATCCACCTATTTAGTTATTCTTTACCTGTGTTTATTTTCCAGTTCAAAGGTAAATGAAAGTTTCTTTAATCCTATGATTCGGTATATAACTTATTTGTTACAGCCCCTACATAACGATTACCCCAGTATTTGGAGTTGTCATGAATTTTTATGATTTTCAGGGTCCTGTAAATTATATTAATCTTGAGGCCGTTAAACCAAGTCTAAGGCCACTATCTATGGCTATGTCTACCGTTGCAATCCACATCTTTGGAGATGTGCCATCCTCGCCTCTTGTTGGAGTTCTTCAGGTTTGCCTTCCACTTTGAATCTTTTTTTCAGCTTCTTGTACTGCTCAGTGATAAGGACGCTTTGGCTGCATGCTTGTTTCAGTTGGACTTCAGGTTATGACAATATTTTCAATAAAATAAGGCGCATTTCTCCCTTAGTTTTCATCCTAATCAACTAATAAAATATATTTCACCTTAAGCACCTGGTAATTAGTGTGATGGGGTGAACTTCATTGAGGGTACTCGTGAGAGAATGCTCCGGTCAGCAAGGTTAGATAAATAGCCAGGAGAGTGTTGGAGGCAAAGGATTATTGTTTTTTCCCTCCTGCTCAAGTGAGAAAGTTTACAAGGTGGGTGCTTTGGGAAGACTCATTTATGGGCTACTTGAATTTCTCGGTTCTTGGTTGTCAGGTTTTCTTATAAGTTGCAAATTTAGGAATGGTGGTCTCACCTTTTTATAGGACTCCACATCCATTGACGATTAGGATCATTCTAATCCAGTTGTTGAGATCACTTTTTAGTTTTCTCACTTTATGCCTGGGAGATATTTATAAAGAAAAGATGGAATACACGTGCATAAGGGTATCCTCGTATATCACCAGAGATAGCGAAGATGTACCTTGAGAATTTTAGAGAAACAAGTCTAACAATAAGGGAAGCCTAGTATATCACTGGAGATAACGAAGATACATGCAGTGAATTGTAGAAAAATCTAGGAAAGTCTGGAAAGTTTGGAAAAGCGTAGAGATGTGCGGAGGGTTCTACAGAGTTTCAGGTCCATTTATTTAGCATGTAAACCTTTTTACAAACAATATTGCATGGGTGGCACAAGCCAGTGAAATTTTGCTGGCAATGGAGCAAGGGCTAATTGGTTTTTCCCTTTATTTTCTCCCTGTTGGGGCGGGGGGCACCTAGCCTACATTGATATCGATAACACCATGCAAAACTAAACTTTTGGTCAGAAGGTTAGCAGTCTGTTAGAACCCAAAATATATTGAAAGATAAAAGATAAATGAACTACAATAGCTACCAAGTATTCGAGGTACTAGGACCCTCCCCTCTCTTGAGTATTCTCACTCAAGCCAAAATCATACGCACTAATTGGATACCTGCATCCTTACACCCACACTCTATTTATAACCTCTCCCTAACTACTTTTCTATCTAATTACTCAGGTACCCTCAATACCCTAATAATATCCCTTTATTACCCCACGGACCAATCCTATCACAGTCTTCCATCTAACCAGATTGCTCTGTCCCTAAATCTTGGCAAACTTGGCGGCTACTTAAATAGGAACTTCAAGATTAGGTTTTAAATAGTAAGAAGTATTGATAGTTATTTAGAAGATGATTTTTGGCTACGTAATTCAAAGTGGTTCTAGAAATCCTAAAAACACTCCAAAGTATTTATTTAATGTTTTTATTTTTCAAAAAGTATTTATAGAAAAAGTGTTTCACTTTAAAGAATTCTTCCAAAAAGTCATTTTGCATTGATTTAAATAATAAATAGATAAGTAGGAGGATCAGGATCCATGATATTGCCTTTTATCTCAAGTTCTTCAAATATCTTAAAGTCTCTGATGGCTTTCTTATGATCATGCAGGACTACGTTAACAATTGGAGGGTGTCTGCTCTTGTTCTTACAGCTGTTCTGTTTCCAACAGCTCTAATATGGTTTGCAGGTAAGCTTCTAGTTCCGTTTTTAATATGAGCTGTTTGCATTAACTCTACAATGGTAAATGCAAAATTTTCGTCAGTACCCAATATATCGATTTTACTTTTCATCTATTATTTTATTATGCTCTCTCTTCTATTATATACAAACATAAAATTATCGGAAGTATCTTATAGTATTGGATATGGTTGTGTGACAAGGTTAGAGCAGCTTGTTTCTGGAGACATTGCATAAAATTGGGCGCCTCAGAGGTGTGTTTGAGAGTGATTTTGGCATTTGCTATTGTCAAAATCACTTTCTTTACATGGATCATGTTTGGCAAATTAAAAAATTGGTTTTAGGAAAGTTTAAAATCACTTTAAATTAATTTTTAAGGTATCACTTGGATAGTGATTTTGGAAAATCAATTATACTTAAAATACATTTTTCAAAATCACTCAGTCTACCATCACTCTCAAACACACCCTCAGCAATCCTGATGCTTAGGCACCATACAGAAATTTTCATATTTACCTTAAACAAACACCTTCTCTGTGGCTTCCACCCCTCACAAACAAAGGGTGGTTGCATTTCATGTAGTTCTTGGTTTTAAGTTTCAGCTCTTGTAAAACCAGATCAGCCACCATCAGAAACTCGAGTATGAACCATTATCATATTCACCTGAGAAAAGTCATAACTTCCACTTGTTATGTGCTATGACAGGTGTATTTCTTCCCAGTGTAGACTCGTCTGATGAAAACGGTCATCTCGAAGATTCTGCAACCAACCAGTTGAGCACGACACCATTGCTCGAAGGACAGTTGATAAAGATAGCTGAATCTTCTTCCCAACCATAAATGGTTTTTGTTTCTGTTTCTCACTCCATGCTCAACATGCCCTTCTCATTGCTTTCTCATGTAAGTATCGTCTTTAGTTCGGTTAGGATGTGTAACGATTGTGAACTAGACTAATCTTAATTATTGGAAAACGAAGTTTGATTAACAAACGTTGTTTTTCCTGTATTTGGAAACAGACCTCTTATCAGCTGGTTAACTCAAATGCATTTGTGTATAATGTAGATGTTGTAACCTCTCTCTTTTGTTTTGTTTTTTTTTTTTCCTGTTTTAGTTGTTAGATTTGTTAGCAGTTGAGTTTGTATTTCTTGAAGAATTTAAATGCATTCATATCGTTCCGTCAAATTTTTCTAAATAAAATTTTTCTTCCCTTTCTAAATTTTACTTATATATTTACTAATATGTATGTACATACGTGCGTGTATATATAACATCGTCGTAAATTATAAAGAAACACACACACACATTAAATTTAGGTAAATTGACCGTTTATTAATTTGTTTGTTGGTTTGGGCTTAGCTAACTTATTGGTCAGTTGTCTAACTTGGTTTTAGGGAGGGTATTCAATTTGATAAAACTAGTTCCTTTTTTTTTTTTAGTACGATAAAACTAAAGTTGACCAAATACATAGGTGGAAAATGAGTTTTAAAAAAATATATCAAATCATATAAATTAAGTTAATTAAACTTAAAAGAATACAATAGTTAATCGTGTGCTCACCAATCTTCTATCAAAATAAACCATTACCAGTCAAAATCGTCAAGTCATAGATGGAAGGGGAGAAGATTTATCAAAGAGAGCATAGTTTAGCGGTTATTAATATATATATATATATATATATCTAATCAAGAGGATGTGAGTTCGATCCCCCACTTCCACGTGTTTTACTATTAAAAAAAGCTAAGATTTATATATATATTTCTAATTAAAGAAGATATTATTAGGGGAAACAAGAAAAGTCATTGGGACTATTCTAGAGGCTAAAGCGCGAGTCACTCCATTACTTTTGTCTTTATGGTATGAATAAATCAAAAAATTTTGTCAACTTGAACATAGTTCAATGAGTAATCTGTAAGACACATGTGTCCGACTACGAGGTCGTGGTTCAAATCTCCACCCCACATGTACTAAAAAGAATCCAAAAATTTTTACGTTACTTCATATTTTTGTTATTCACTTCCTCGTCCCTGTCACATCAACATCATATTAGATATGATGTGGGATCCATGAACATTAAAAAATTATTTATAAATACAAAATCATAGTGTGAACAAAAAGTATGTGATACTACATGATCTCAGGGTATAATTGTTTCAATAAACCCTTTGCATGTTAGACTCCAGGGATCTGTACCCTTAAATGTGAAAGGGGTTAAATATTTTACTAAGTGTTATTAATTAAAACAAGTGGTAATGCTTAATGGATAAGTATTTGAAACAAAAACCACGTTCGAGCTACAACACTTTGTCTTTGAACTTTGCCCACAGGATTTCCGATTTGCCGGTTTCATTCCCCATGGTTCCATCCTTCCGCCCTTTTTTTTCCTTCTTTTTATTAATTATATATAGAGAGAGAGATGGAAAATCTTCAGAAACGAACTTAATTTCCAAAATTCGAAGCACATTGAAGTCATCAATGGCGCCCACGGCAGCAATGCTCACACTGTCCCACCACCACTCCCAGCCACCAGATTCTTCCCGCCGCCCCCCGCCGCCGGCGACTTCCTCCGCCGTGGCCGCCGTGAGTTTCGTGGTGGGAGCACTGTCATCCGGCGGCAAAGGCAAGATTGGGATGCCTTCATCTGAAATGAAGAAAGTGGGCGTTTCAGAGGCGTTTGAATGTGGCAACTTCTGGGGTTGGTGATTCATTTCATTGTATTCCTTCTTGTTGGCTCCAACTTGGGAATGGGAATTGATTGCTTTTCTCTGATTTCCATCTCCAAAATGTGTAAATTAGAAGTAATTGAGTTGGTTTTTTTCTCTCTGTATATGAATGTAGAAGTTGGGTGTGTAAATAGAAGAACCCACCTTTTTCTATGGAAGATTGAAATTGAATCGTCAACTAGAGATGTTCTTCGGCCATTTCATTCTCCGAAATTTTGTGATGATCGGGGTGGGGATTCCTCGCGGATAATTCACAGGGATCGACTTCCCTTGTTTGATTTTTTCTGTGTTTATTCTTTTATTTTTTAAATTATTTTTGAAATTTGACTACGTTTGTAAAAACTTTAATATATATTCAATATACTAAAAGAAATTTGTGAGCAAACACTAGCTCTCTAGAGTTAAAAGAAATAATTTTGAATTCAAATCCAATAAATTATTTTAAATTCTTAATCTTATTGAGAATGAATTAAATTAATTTTTTTTATTTGAATATTGCTGAAAATGAAAAGAAAATAAAAATTTGTGAGCTTTTAACCAAACTTTATAAATTATAAATTAAAATATGACAAAGTTAAATAGATAATTTATTTTAAATTATGTAAAATCTTACAAAATCTGATCATTTTGGTGTGAAATTTCAAATCATTCAAAATCATGCGGTACCAAACAACGGAATTTATTTGAAATCTGTTATAATTTTGAAACCCTTCCAAATCCAAGGTACCAAACAAACAAAGTATAAAACAAAATGGTTTGGTTCCACCTAATGTTGTTTCAAATTATTATATTATTATGATATTTCGAGATGTCCATGTACCTTGTTGTTCGATGTCTCACATGTCTTATTGTCCAACGTTTCATGTGTCTTGTTACCACCTATTCTTAATGTTTTAAGTACTCACACCACTTGTTGTCCAAATTGCCTATAATTAAAAGTAGTTCGTGGTTCAAAGTAAAATATATATATATATATATATAAATAAAAAGTGGTATTCTTATTTTAATGATAAAAAATGGTGTTCTTGTATTATTTATTTCATCTCTATTTTGACATTTTCTTGTGGTCTTACTTTAAGAGTGTATTGTTTTGTTTCTCAATTTGACCATAAAAATATTATTATATGTTTTTTGTTTGTTAGATATATAGTATTGCAGTTAAACTATTAGTTTGTGGTTTTTTTTTTCCTTTCTTTAACAATAAATTATACCTTTTAAACAACAACCTGGTGTGGTGTAGTTGGTTATCACGTCAATCTAACACATTGAAGGTCTTCGATTGCTGTTTCTATTTTATTACTCGATATTCAAAATATATATATATATATATATATATATATATATATATATATATATTATCTATTAAATGAAATTTTAAAAAATTATTAAACAATATTATAATATATATACTTTTCCCATCTCTTTTCTATCGATTTCGTTTTATTATTCAATTCTATGTTTAAGGGTTGAACATTTTGTGTTAGAAGAATAGACATAAAGTAGATATTCTATTAGAGATGATAAGGACTTAACAATAATTTTAATACATACATATTGCTCTTCTCATATTAATTGATTTTGAGATGAAATCCTATGAATATTAATATAGTATCAGAGTTCAAAAAATTTAAACGAGTCTCCAATCCAAAATACTTGTTAAAGATCCCACATCAAAAAAATAATGAAACAAAATATGAAAAGATTAAATAAGTAATTTACCATATAATTCTGAAAGAAATAATTAATACAAATTATGTTCATTGAAATAAATCAAAAATTGGTGTTGTGGTGTAGTTGGTTATCACGTCAGTCTAACACACTGAAGGTCTCCGGTTCGAGTCCGGGCAACGCCATGTTTAACAATTTTTTTTTATTTATTTTTTTTCCCCTCCCCTAATCGACCAATATAATTTATAAATATATAAAACAAGAGAAGAGTCCGGATGACGCCATTTTTATTTTGTATTTTTTGTCTTCTTCTAATCGACTCATATACATATTATAAAGAATGAATATTAGAAAAAAATAAAAAGAGAGAGAGAATAAGCAATCTGAGCATTTGAATTTTCTTTTCTTTTATTAAAGCGTTTCTTCCTTTTGTTTTAGTACATAAATCATTACTTTTCTATTTTATTCACTAATATAAATTTTACTATTATTGTATTACATAAATAAATAAATAAATGAATAGTACTAAAAAAATATAAATACAAAATATATTTATTATTCCATATTAATTTGAATCACGTCTCGTGAATATAAATCACAAAAAAAAGAACCATCAATACACACACTGATACGTATGTGAAGTTTCAATTTTATTAACATGTTTTCTTAACTAAAAACAAAAATTATAATGTTTTAACAGATTAAACTCTGTTTAGGTCGGTAAAACTATAATATATATAGACATGCACAAACATTTTCAATGGCTGAATGTACGTTATTGGTCTATTTGAATTTGTTTTTTTCTTAGTTTTTAAATGTAGTCTTCATTTTCAAATTTTTCCTGAATATAATTTTTTTTAGTTCAACAAATCGTAAATCAATAATCAAACTATCAACCATCTAAAATAGTAATAAATATCTTATCTACTGAACTATGGTTGAATCGATCATTACAAACATCTATAATAGTTAAGACACTTATACATTTCCTTCGATGTTGAAAGTTTAAATATTCAACTCAATATTTGTTCAACTATCAATTTAATTTATTACATTTTAAAACTATTCACTATAATCTTTATATTAGTCAATATTAACCCTAACTAATGATACTTACAACTTGTGGTGAGCTGACAAAATATTAGGGTATAAGGAATTGGTGAAAGTTGTTCACTTTTTCATCTCTACTAAATGACCTAATTATTTGTCTAAATTTATATTAAATTCACTTATCTAACATAAAAACTTTATTATGAGTCAGTTTCAACCTTCACCAACAAAAATGCAAATTAAAAAATATTGCCACACGTAAATTACATTTATTTCTTACTTAATCTCACTACCCACACTGTTTAAATTAATAATATTAAAATATAATAGACTGTTAAATTTTTTATAGTATTTGTTTTTTTGGTATTATTACTAGTTTGGTAATTATACTTGGTTGGTTTTGGTATTTATACTGTTAATTTTGGTCCCTATACTTTTAACGTTAGTTCATTTTAGTCTCTATATTTTTAAAAATCCAATTTGATATTTGTATTTTTAAAAAGTGATCATTTAAATCTCATTGCTCTTGTTTTTTCGATCACAATTTTAGCATGACACTTCATTCACTAAATTTATTGAAATATAGTCATAAATTTATATCAAAGAATTTTTGCATAGATTAAAACAAATGTTTTAAAGTAAAATACAAAATTTAAAATATAAAAACTAAAATAAACGTTTTGAAAATATAATAATTAAAATGGAGGGTTTGGAATATATTGATCATACTGATTTAGAGGTTTCAAATTCAAAAATTTATGTGAGCTTAATATCAAAAATCGATGTCTCTCAACAGCTCGAATTTTGGAATGGGCGTAAGTGCCTCTGAGTATATGGGAGCAAATTTCAATTCTCAATTATTAAAAAGAAGAAAAAAAAAACTAAAAATACATGGATAAAATAATATTTAATAACAACTCTGAGTAGAGATTTAAAATTTCAATGTGGATATGATTTGAAGAGGAGGAATCACGTTCCAAAATGAT